CCGCCCCAGGGCGGCGGGAGGGGGCCAGAGACGGGACGGCAGCAGCAAACGCACGGAGCCGGTCGGAGGGGAGGCTGCTCGGGGGGCCGGAGGGAGCACGCCGAGCCGCCTCAGCGGCATCGGACAGTAAGGCGCCCCAGTAAGGCGCCCACAGGTACCTTTTCCCTGGCACCATGGGACATGCAACCCTACGCACGACTGGGGCACTGCGCTGGGTCAAGGCACTACCTGCATCATGTCTCGCTTGCCAGGACGGAGGCACAGTTAGCAGCACCACAGTGCGGCTTGCCAAATGTTCCCCAGCCCATGGGGAGAGGTGTCGTCCCTGCTCCAGGGGGTCCCAGGCTGGCCACACAGCACACATCTCACTGCACGCGTTGGCCAGGGACAGCCCAGGGAAGACCGAGGCTCTAGCACCCACAGACTTCAGCCAGGCCACAGCCTTGCAACGCTCGCTGCTGCATGGACTTGGAAAAGGCTCCGTCTCTACCCTGATGACACTTCTATCTGCCCCAAGGCACGAACCAGGCTGCCCAAAACACACCTTCCCAGACACTGGGCGTGCAATGAACCCAGGAAACACATGTAGGGAGGGCTGTGTACGTAACCCTGACCCAGCACCCCAAGATGCTCTCAGGTTCAGGCACTGCCCCAAGCACCACAGACAGCTGCACCAGGTTTGGAGACGCCGGCTCCAGGCTGGTCTGATGCCTCCGAGACAGAGGGCACAAAAGGACGGCCGGGGCCGCAGGATAGCAGGCCGCTGCGCCAGGACTTTGGTGGTGCACATCCACCCAGCACCTCGCTCTGTGGGATCTCGGCCTGCAGCAGGGGCCTCACACAGCAACCACGCAGCAAACAACCTGGCACAATTCCTCCCCCTGCATGAGATATCTACTTTCTTGAGCCATCAGAATATAGGTGCTCCTTAATAATATTCCTCGGGCCGAGACAGCCTCCAGGCTCCCTGTGAGCACCACTAGACTTCACCAGAGACCTCAGCAGGGCATTGGCTCCCAAGCCTGGCACCAGGTCTCTGCCCTGTATGGGACCTGTGGAGGCACCAGTGCACTGTCATTCACGAGGCCCATGAAAGACCTTTTGGCTTTTTTAGGTAGGATGGGTGTTCGAATACTGCTGGGCAGCTGCCCTTCTGAGTACTTACAGTCTGTCCCCACACACCAAATCCTCTCCAGTGTCTCTGAAACTCCCTGAGCTTCCCTACTGCCCCAAATGCTTGCAGAGTTCAGCTAGGCAGGGTCTGGTGCCCATGTTTCAGTGCAGAAAGAAGCTAAGTCCCTTTACAGAGGGACAGCCTAGAGGCCAGTTCCCAGCTCTGCCCAGGCCTGAGCTGAGTGCAAGCCGCGGGTGCTCAGCCTGGCTCTGCAGCAAGGGAGGTCGGAAAGAGGGTTTCAGACCAGTGTTCGCAGAGGACTTGAGATCAAGGAGCTTGACAGATCTGCAGGGCATCATCCTCGGAAGAGAATAATTGAGTTTTGCACAGACTGTTCAGGCGGCTGTCAACATCCATCACTTGGCCTGAGACTGCTGGTGAGAGATCTTGTTGATGGCTGATAAAGTACAACTGCAGGCATGCAGGGACCTGGGAAACTCAGCCAGCAGACAGGCCCAAAGCAGTGTCTGGGCAAGGCAAATCCATCACTCCACATGGGAGTTGCAGCCAACTAGAATGGAGCAGCGACAAGGCTCATTACATATTTCCTGGTCAGTGAAATGCTGGCTCAACATCAATTTGTTTTTCAGAAGAGGAAAGGGGTCTTCCCTATCTGCAGATGAAGAACGGGGTTCAGTTGCCTGCTGAAAAGACATAAGACTCATGAAAAGTGTACAGCCTCAGCAGCTGAGAGGAGATGAGACCTGGGCCCTGCTTATGCAGCCCTGGCACCTGAGGACCGCGAGGCTGAGGTTTGGGAAGGAGGGACTTGCTGGCACTTTGGCAGCAAGGCAGCCAGAGGAGCACAGGTTGCAGAGACATCTACAGAGCAGCCTGGGAAAAAAAGAAACCAAAGTGCTGCAGAATTTAACCTGGTCATGGAAAAGGAGCAGAAGAGAGAAGCAGGCCTTTGAAAAATGCTGTATATGGTAAGGAATCATCATGGGTAACAGAAGGGAAGGGATTTTTCTCACTGATGGGGGGTCAGCAGAGAGAGCCTACGAACCAACAGAAACAAAGAGACTAGAAAAATGGCACAGAGAGGTGGAGAATGAAAACACGGGAACTGCAGAAAAGCTCCTCTGAAAGAGCTGTGAATAATCATATGGGCCAGGGTGCTAGGTGGGCCCGGAGCAGCTGCTGGCAGAACGGTACACGCGCCTTGGATTCGACCTGGTTCAGTGACAATATACACAGAGGTCAGCTCTTTACGCCGAGGAACGGAGATATGAACTAGCTAAGCAGGGAGTTTGGAGGGCAGAGCGAGACGGGTAGAGAGCTGCGCGGCACTGGAGAGGAAGGAGGCCTCCTGGATCACAGCCCCGTGCCAGGCTCGTGGGATGGTTTCTGCTAAAACACAGAGTGGAAGAGCTGATGCCAGAAAACGCTCGAGGAGTAATTCTGAATGAAAGCGACGTCTGCACAGCGCCGGAGAACAGCCCAGCAGAGCAGAACACTATAAAAACCTGGGCTCTGGGACTGTCTATGAACACTTCAAAGGACAAAGTGCCTTACAGCTTCAAAAGGTTCGAGCAGCCCTGTCACAGGCACCGACAGCATCACACGAGCCTGCTGAGGGCAGAGGCTGGAAAATGCTGTCACCTCAGAAACAGGTCACCGGGAAGCGGGCTGGCCAGCGCTCCCTGAGGCTGGGGGACACAAGAGACAAACAGGAGGGCTGGCAGGGTTGGGGAGGCAATACAAAACTTTGCAACTACACTTAAATCCTGCCAAGGTTCTGCTTGGCCAAATGCCATTCTCAGCTGACAGCTGTGTGATGCCTTGTCTGAAACGAATCTGGTGGGCTCAGTCCAAGCTGAGAAGATGCACTGCAACCGCACACCCTGGCCCTGCTTTTCTGGTCCCTCAGCAGTACCACTGTCTGTCTGTCTACCAAACTCCAGGCTCTTTGGTGCAACAACTCTTTCTGACAGGGCAGACTAAACTGTCTGGGCTCCTGAATGCAAACTCACGACAGCTGCCTCGGTAGGGGCCAGAGACAACGGCCTCACAGCTCAGCTTACTCTCCAGGCCGTCTGTGCTCTCTGGACTTCCAAGGGGCCAAAAGGCTGTCACTCCTCGACATCTCTGAATTTGCAAGTGCTGCCCAAGAGAAAGCAGGGCAGAGGGCTGGCCCTGTGCCACCGAGGTTGATCCCAAGCGTAGGCTTTTTTGTCGTCACAGGCTGTGAGCTCACCGCTGCAGCACACAGGGCGAGGGAGCCAGCTCTGCCCTAGACATGAGCAGCACCCAAGAGACCTAGGAATATACTGTCCCAGTGGGATTTCTAACTGGATGAACAACCTCTTTCCTCCCTCCTGAAAGGGGGCTGACCACACCTCTCCAAGTCCTGCTCTGACAAGTGTTTCCAGGAGGGGTGGATGGGCTGCACTGGGCAAGAAGCGGCTCTGACACTCTGCCCCAGCCTTAGCACCACTATGCAGGTAAGTAGGGCCCAGAGAAGCTGCCTGGGGCAGATTCAGGGCTGCTTTGGGGAGCAGGGGCAGCAAGCGGTCTTGTATGTAGCTTTGGCACAGACAGGACTGAACTGAGGGCTGTAATGCTCCTCTGGGCTGGACATGCTGGGCTAGGGCAGTAATTTAGGCACCAAGCAGGGAGGGTTAACCCTTTCTGAGGTTCCTCTGGTAAAGACCGTGACTGTTACGGATACATTACAGAGGCAACCAGTCCCTCTTCCAGGGCGCTGGTTCTTGTGCTTAGCAATGTAATATTCAGGTCCTAGAGCTGCAAGCTGCCCTGTGTGGGTCAAGATTCCTCTTCTTCCTGCAGCACTGAGGAAAGTCACAGCCATGCGACATTTTGCAAAAGAGACTTCACAGCTACAACGTACCCTCCCTGCAGATATTCTCCCTTTCTCCATGCCTGGCAGCATTTCAAAACAAGAGCTCAATGGCTGGTTTTCCTCAACTTTTCCTTAGCAAAAAATCTTTCTGTGCACCCAGCCACAAAGTCTTGCCCGGCCCTGAGACCACCAGGCCCTTCGGCTGTGACACTACGAACGGCACTGTGAGATCAGGGGCCTCCGTCAGAGCGAAGAGACCCTAGCCATACCCATGTCAGGCCCCTCATGCACCTTTGCAGCAACCCCGCTGCACCCTGCCGCCCATCTACCCCATACGACCCATGCTCAGGAACGGCTCGTCGCCTGGCACAGGCCAATCCTGTGCAGCTTGTGCCACCTTCTACTCTCCTCGCAGAGGTGTCGCAGGAGCAGAATGAGAAGCCCCCCATCCTTCCCCCCACCCCTCACTGCAACGGGGGCTCATGCATTAGCCCAGAGGAGAAGAGTGACTTGGGGACAGACTTTCTTCCCCTTCGGCGGGGCTGCTGTGGGGACAGCGTCTTGTGTGTCACCTTCAGCCCTGCTGCAGGCGGCAAGAGCAGGCGATGGGGAACAGCTGCACATCCCACCCTGCGCTTGAGACTTAGCGACCTCTTGAGCCATGCCACACTCTTAAAACGTTCCTTTCCCAACAAGCTGTCCACAGGCCCATCGCTCCCCGAGTCCCTTTATCCCTCCAGTGCAGTTCAACAGCACGGGAAGCAACAATCAAGCATCTCCCTTCCAAATGCATGTTTCCATCCGAGTGCGTCACAACTTAATGCTGCCCCCAGACCGTACTGCGCTATGACAGCATCGCAGCTTGTCATCGCTGCGATGTCCCCACCAGGCTGGTTTTGACCACGGTGGCAGCCCAGCCAGCCTGGGTGGTAGCCCTGCCTGCATCCGCCCAGCCTCCTGCCCTGCAACAGGGGGGCAGCGAGGACTCTTCTCACTGCTGAGCTGCAGGCAAGCACCCGACCGAAGTAGGAGATGCCCAAAGACACCGTTTTCACTTCTCCCCGCATACACGCGCCAGCGCAACTCCTCCAAAGCCGATGCCGACTTCCACCGAACAAGCTCTTGGCAGTAAAATGCCCTTTTTTGTCCCGAGAGGCACTCCTTCCTCTCCAGCTCTGCTCGGCTGGGAGCGGGGGGCTGCGGCGCTGCCCTCCTTGCTGCGTCGCAGACCTCCCCGCCGGCCCAGCTGACCCAGGCGGGCGCA